CAAAGGATTGGAAAATTTTAGATTGAATAATTTTTGATGGGTCTCATCCAATACATATTATAGAGAGATTTTAAAAGTGTTTTGGTGAAACCCAGTGCTGACAAAAATATCAAGAATACATAGCACTGTTTTTTCATGTAATAACACTAAAATATGTTAGACCCAATGAATGATAAGATCATAGAGATGATCATGGCAAAACAATTTGAATTTGTTTATCATAACTGTGAGCCTTTAGAAATCAATCGCAAACGATTCTCGTAGGAGAAGACTCTGGTTATTATATTTTGTCATATAGAATACCAAAATCGTGTAGAATTTGAAAGATATATTTCATTACTCATGTGCTTTCTCAGTGACCGATGATGATGTTATTGCGGCCTCCTTGCTATGCAAGACAAAAGTTAACCATTCAGTATATTTCTTTTATATGTGCAACGAAGTCACCTCATTATAATGAATTGTGATTCTACATCCTTTTTATTCAATTGGATTAGTAGTATTTCTAACAGATCAACTGGACTGGCTTTCGCAAAAATTTCCAAACTGACCGTGCGTTTTGTTGTCAGTGCAATGTCGTTATTGAGTTGAGAGTAATTACTTTAACTGTTTCGAGAGAAAATAGAGAGAACTATCTTAAGTTGATGCCTTATAAGTGACGTGAGCTACAGTGAGCTGTCAATTGTCAACTCCAAATTGGAAACAACCAAAAAGGTAATTTCTAAGCATTAGGAATATTACTTTTTTTTAAAGATGGATTGGCTCCTACCTTGACAATCGCGAAGATGCGTTTAAATGGATTATCTTTCCTACCATTTCATTCCCCTTTTTGGCTTTTTTGTATATGATGTTTCTAGGATTTCTTTAAAATTTAAAGCAGACTTTGGAATACTGGAAAAAAGAAACATTAATGATAAAAGCAAAATAATCGTTAAACAATCTACACTCGCCCTTCATTGAAAGATCTTTTGTTCTATAAACCAGCCTTAGTTAAACTCTGCGCTCGTCGACACAAATTCTACTGTTCTTTCTCAACACTTGGGGATCGCATCTGCGCTCACTCTCATTCATGGCGATTAGAACTTGTAGCAGCCTCTTGATCTTTAAAAATAACTTTAAAATAATTTATTTTCAGGACATCGTTCAGTTCAGTAGTTTGTTGTAGTTAATGTATAACACTTTCGAATTTACATACAGCAATAGTGCAATACAAATCATTTTCGTTTCTATATTTTTATTAATAATCTCCCCAGATTTTGCTATACACGTACACTTACTACTGGATACGTCGATGCGAGTAAGAGATATTTAAACCTTGCGAAGTAAACGAGTTGTTTAAGGGAGTTGTTGCAAGCATAACATTTGCTGTATAAAGTTCCTTCCTTCAGCCCACTGGGCAGGTTTTGAGTGTGACTAAGCAATTATTTACAAGGGAAATTGGAAGTAAAGCAATGTTACAAACCGAAGTAGAGTCGGGTACGGTATTAAGGCGAAATTTTTCTTTATTTGAATAGTAAACAGATTAATGGAGTTAGGAAGAACAAACATCCAGAGAGGGAAGAATAGATCCAAATTTACGGCGATAGTAAACCTTTTAGTGAATGTGACTAACAGACTAACTAATCGCCACCGAAACTGTTCGACGGCAAACTTGAAGAGCCAAGGATTAATTTTTCTAAAATTTAAAAACTATGTCATACTGAACTTTAGGTGCAACTTAATAGGAAGATTGCGTACATGTATTCAGGTGGCGATTTACTGCTTTCATAGGGAGAAAAGGTCTGTTTAAAAACAGCGCAATAGTTCAAATGTTGTTCGTGTTTTCTTTTTTCATCTCAAAATATTGTAACAGATCAAAGATTCATGAATCTCCGTGTTGAGTAGGGCTCGGGCCTGACGGATGCAAGTTGACATATCGTGTGCCACGTAGAATTAAGAATAGGAAATTTAAAACTTCCCACAGATATTTTTTCCGCCGCCATTTTACAGTTGGTAGATTGTAACCATGGAGAACGTAAGAATTCATTCCCCAAAAGAAAAGATCACAAAAGTGATCGTAAACTAGTAAAGTCTTTTCGCAGGACGCTTAAATAACTCGCTCTTTTGGAGTTCCTGATAAAATTGGATGTGAGAAGTGTCACGTACTGAGATACTGTGTCTGCCTCGTTACCAGGGCCTCTCCTTTTTTCACCCTCGGAACGAGAGAGGGCGGGAAAAATAGAGATCCTGAGAAGCAGGTTGTGTAAAAGCTTTTACACCCCAGCATTAGTATGAACATTCTTCATACTGTTCTCTTTTCATTTCTTATGGCACAGAAAATGTGAAATTCTTTAGCAATCAAGGGCTTTTTTTCAGTGGGGAATTATTTCCGTAAATCTATTGACCTTAAAGTTTGATTTAGTGGGGACACTGAAATTAGATGCTAGTCAATTTAAGGGGAAAAAGGGTGAATTTCTTTGTTTGTACATTAGAAGGCCGTGCGAAAATTATTTTTATGAAAGATTATCGCAAAACCAAAAGAAATTTTAATTGAAAAATCATCTAAAGCAAGATCCTGATGGTCTCACCTCTCAGTAAGGCAATTATTGCTATGAATACAGGAGATAAAGGTATGTTAAACTGCAAGGACTGCAAGGGCTCATCACAAGTCGTAGAGCACCATAAAAAGGTTTGGCGACTACGGTTTAACAAAGAGAAAAGGTAACTGTGGACAGCTGTTTCGGTATAGTTCGATCTCATCAGCACTGTGAAGCTGAAGTCATTGCCGCTACATTAACGCCTGTTTGCCTTAATGTCACATTGCTTTTTCCAAATCGGTTGGATTATGCTCAAAAATATGTTCGTTTTTGAACTTATGCTGCTTTTTCTGAAAGTAAGCATTTTACGTGTTTAATGGATTCATGATAATCTTGTATAATAATATTTACTTTTGCAAGATTAAACCTATAAAAATTATATCAAATCATGTATAATTAGCTCTAGGATAACTTGTAGATATAAACTTCGGTATACATTGACTCATATTCGAGAGTATGGTGAAGTATTTAAGACGAGTGAGAGCAAATCTTGTGAAGTTTCTCCTGGTTTGTCGAGGTTCAGTTGCTGTAGATCCCCGGCATCCGAAAGTAAGCGAATGATCTCTGCCATCCCCTTTGCCAAACGAGTGTTCCGAGCTAAGTTGGCCAAAAATGAATCGTTACAAAGATCAGTGATCTTGGACGTTATTCGATTTTAAGGCCTCAGGGATAAGGGAAATTTCAAAGCTGCCGAGTAACATATACATTGCAAGCTTACTTAATGTACTGAGTGGTTTAGTGTCACTATATACGCACTTAAAACCTGTACTTTCTTTCCTATCTTAGCTAAAGCCGTCATGACAACGCTGCTTCAATATTTACGTCAAATGTCCTAATTCAGATCTTTCTTCTTCACATCGGTCAACATAAAACGTTTGGACTTGTTCAGTTTGTGAGTATCTGACATCCATGTATCCTCAACTTTTTCCTTCTTTACTAATATTTTGCCTTTTTTTCTGAATGGAATGTGTTAGGATGTGGTATTTCTGAGCGAGAATTTTTGAGCTTTATTCGTAATTCAGCAGCGAGCGGAGCTTTGGTGTATTTTTGGCGATGATTCACGATATATATTTATTGCTCTCTGTAATTTGTAATCTTTTTAGACAAATAAACAGGATTTCCTTTCCTTTCCTTTTATCATTCAATAAACTTAATTTGTTTTTTGTCGTCATTCCAGTGTTTAAAGTCTATTAGTGTGAGGGCACATCTCGTCTGCTGATAATGTCGGGCTTTATTTTCAAAACACTACATTACATAGCCTGATGACGTATATTTGTAGATAAAACCATAAGATAAGAGAAAGGAACATGTCCACAACTTATGGTATTTAAAGTTGGCTCGCACCCCGAGTATCTCGACCTCTTTTTTGATCAAGTTTTATTTGCTTAGAGCCTCAAAAACATTACTAAATGTATAGCTTGTGTTATTTCGCCCTGATATTTATCACCGCGCATTACGTTAAACCCCGCCTGACTGAGGATAAGTCATTGCTTCTGATCTACGAACGTACGGGCATAGGGTTGAGTAAACAAGGAATTTCATGACTCAAGTCCCCATTTCCGCGTATTCTATATATATAATTATTCGTAACGCATCGTTGGCACAGAAACGTTAAAAGAAAAAAAAATATGTGGTAGATATCTTATCGTTTGTGTTCAATGTCATTTGCTCCACTTTCGAAAAGTTTATGTGAGAATGATTCCGGAGAAAATTAGCCTTGTTACTAGGTTGCTTTCTAGGCTGTCGAGGAAGTTAATTATAAAAGGAACATGGATGAAATTTCCTCAAATTGCAAACAATAATATTCCTTGAAATTTGAGCAGGCCGGGTTCTGGAAACGAAAACGTATATAAGGAGAACGAAGAGCTGAAAATCACGATGAAAACTACTTTTCTAAAGGTTTTTGTTTAGATCAAGAAGATTTTTTGCAGACTTTACTGGTGAAGTGATGGCCTATCATGTCAAGGTAATTTTGTTTTGGCATTTTCTTCTGGATATAGTCCGCTAATGTTTCAAAGGCTTTGAAAACTAATGTGAGACATATATCTACTAAGTTTAGGCATCTAGCCAGATGAAATTCGTGTCTCAGTATTACCTGGTATCATCCCTAAAAGGGCGATAGCCTTAAACCTCCAAACAACAATTTTTTAAGTTTGAAAAGTTTGAAAGCGTTACGACCTCCCCAGAAGGGGAAGAGAGGATAGCTCTAGATTAAATTTACATTGATTGAAATCGACTTTGTCGAGATCGATGTGCAAAAATTTTTCAAACGCTACCTTTCAGTGTTTGACTCCTTTTCTCTTATAACCATCTCTGGTATAATTGATATCCATGATTCCTTTCGCTAAAAGTGGGTCCACGAGACCTGCCCACGCATTGAGGTACTCACTTTTCTGCTGCATTCTTCTGTTGTTTTGTAAGCAGATTTCGACTATCATCGCCCTATTTTGCCTACTTTTCATTCATGTGGTAAGGATTGCTCCATTTCCGTTCGACGGCCTCGCTCAGCAGAATGAAGACTTCGCCTATCGTGACAGTGATCAGACTGGTAACGCAATTGAAGAACGAAATGCGTTACGTCGTAACAGAAGCAAGAAGAACTACTTTACTTTATTCCACCATCGAGTCACTCGCGATCACGTTATTCATTCATGTGTCCTCAAAGGCTCTCAAAAAGTGGAACCTTGTGGTGACGATCAGGTGACGACAGTTACCTGTAGGAAGACAAGCTGGGGTTGCAACAGTGGACCCCTAGCTTCGCCAGATTGCGTTAAAATAAGAGAGTACTTTGAGGCGTGTGGAAAAATATTAGTCACGGGATGCAAATGCAAATAAAAAAGTTAATTGAAAGCGACTTTTAGAAATGACATCTGCTCTTTAGAAGTAATAAAAATTGTACATACGTATAGCTTTTTAGCAGTGCATAAATATTTGTAACATAGAGAAATAAGCTTACTACATCAACGTCTATGAAAGCAAAAACGTTGAGCGAATGGTTTGATGTTCATGTTGATATTTTCGTATTCAACAAAATGTTTTTATTTAATTTGTTTAATAAAGAGATGATTAGCTCTCTTCACGGTATGGTGAAGTACAAAAGACGAGTGAAAGTAAATCATGTGAAGTTTCTCTTGGTTTGTTCGAATTCGAGTTGCAGTAGATCCCTAATATCCGGAAATTAATGTTAGATTTCTGTCCTCCCGTTTGCTTTGTGAGCTTTCCTTTTTTAGTTTCTCCACATTGTTCATTCTGTTTACAGAAAATCGCCCTCAGTGGATTGAAAATTTATTGGCGCAGTGCACAGTAGATCGATTTTAAGGCTCCAGGGATATAAATAAGGGTAACGGTATTCCAAAGCTGCCGTGTAACATGTTGATTGCAGATCTTACTAATTGAATTTTGCGATGCTCCCAAATATGCACCTATAAACCGTAACAGTCTTTCCTATCTGAGCTCAAACTTTCCTCCTTATGGTGAAACCTTGCGTGAGTACATGGAGTCACTTGAGTGCTAAAAATTCCAATAGCGATCTTGTGTAATGATTTTAATGGGGTTTAATGTCAAAATACCATCTGACTTAGCCTGATGACGTATTTTGGGGATAAACTCTGAGACATAGCAAAGCCGGGAACATGTCTACAACTCATGATATTTTGTTACTGGCTCGCAGCCTAAATATCTAGACTTTTTTCTCTATGGACCAAGTCATGTCTGCTCGGAGCGTCAAAATCTAAGTCAAATTATATCACTGTACAACTCAGAGAATATCGCGCGTTGACGATACTTGTAAGTCATTGCTTCTGATCTCATTCATGCGACTAAGGGCATGCAAGATGTTAAGTAAACAAGGAATTTCATGATGACTACCATCACTATTAAATGGCCTGAAGTGGTGTTGTGTATGGATATCCATAACCAGGATATCCTTTGTTTTCTCAGTTTTAGGATTATAAACCATTGAATGAAACATGCTCTCTTCCACGCAAACGTCTAATAGTAAAAGAACTGACGCTTACTTTTGCTTCAGGGTACAAGTTATCTGACCATAAGATTATTTATTGTAGCCTTTGTTTTTCTCCTCTTTCTGTTCGTAAAACCTAAAAGTTATCCCGCTTTAATCTCAAAAATATCATTTGGATCCTCCGGTAAAATCCTCCGGTGAGTGACACAGACTAATGGAGTGTCGTTGTGGACAGAGCTTTGTCATAAGTGTGATGACGCGTCAATAACTAGCGGTATTTTGTCAAAGATTCGCACCCAGTCTGTAACGCATTTTTAAACCTTCAAAATTATGGTTCAGTTTCATTTCTACATTGAATAACCTGGATAATTCTCGCCTTGTAACTGAACTCATATAATTTTAACCGAGCGGCGGTACACGGGAGAAAAACCATGCCTTGCACGAATTAATTCGAGTTCACCGTTGCAGAGAAAATACCGGAAAATGCATGTTTTCGACTGGTTAACTCTAGTGAATATGAAGTTGGAATGCGCAAAACGGCTGTGAATGGCAACTGGGATGGGATAACCGAACAGTAATAAACGGTAAAACGCCAGAAAATGCGTTTCATCGAATTTGCTCGAATTCACTATTGGGAAGAAATGTTGGAAAATGCATGCTTTTTGGAAAACTCTTGTGAACGTTTCGTTAACCGTGCAAAAAATGGTTCCGAACGAAAGAAAGCATAACATTTTCTACGCGTTGTACGAACAGCAAACACAGGAAATCATTACGTTTTCCTGCATCTACACACATTAATCTTCCAGGAAAATGCGTGTTTTCAGTGGTGAATACTCTGTTGTACACTGGGAAAATGCCAAAGAACAAAAGGAAAACAAGCTGTTTGCGGTGCGTTGACCAAGTGGTTAATGCCGGAAAATGATTTGTTTACCTGCATTTACCGCGAAGGAAAACTACCGTATAGTGGAACGAACACTGGGATTCACCGATGCGAAAACGCACAGGACACGTCGGATTTTTCGTACGCGAAACATGGGTAAACGTTTGTAAAATGCCGCGTTTTCCGTTTTAGCCTACGGTGAACGCTAGTTTTTTTTTTTTTTGCCGTGAAATTTCGTAAACCATGTACACACTTCCGCGTGTTCTATTAATGTATGCAGTGGTAACGCATCCTTGACACACAAACATAATGTAAACAATAACAAACGACATTTTGTAGCAGCGTCAAGCGCTTTTTCCTTGAGGAAATCTGAAAAAAGACTTCCGTTGTTTAGTTTAAGGATCAAGCTTCCTTAGTAATTATCTTTGAAGAAAACCCTGAATTTATTCTAACCACCCAGTATGGAAGGTGTAATAGTAAAAGAACTGATGCCGCACAACGTGCCCAATGTGCGTGTTAAATTCGTAGCCTTTCTCCTTCTCCTCCTGGATTTAATCATATCGCGTTCATGATTTAAAGCCAGTTTTTATTACTCAAATCCAGCGGCCTGTGTTAAATTTGTCGTAGTGATGCCTATTTAATACCATTTTGCTGAAAGTGCTCAAATGTCTAAAGATAAAAGTCACACAAGAACAGAACGTTGAGGTGTTTTTTTGCTGGAAGGAATAACGAGGATATCGTTAAACTCACTGTTATTTGGGGTAAACGGAACACAAATCAGTGATTCCTGAAATTTGTCCTCCCCCTACGGACAAATTAAGGAGCCAGTTATGTCTGCATCGGCAAAGTCCATTTGTAGTTATATCAAACAAAACTTGAAGAACAAGAATAAAATATTCTTTAAATCGACATCAGTGTTGCTAAAATTAAGCTATGTCTATCAGTTATTAGCTCTTCTCTTCGTTGTAATTTTGATTCGATTTAATTTCAATGCCAGGAGCTTACCTTGGTTATTTCAAGAAAACGGCAATATTTAATTATTTGTGTTTAATGTAAGTTCCCGTAAAATTGAGTAACAAAAAAGTGACTAGAGTGACACTTCAAAAAAAAAAAATTAGCCGACTTGGAAGTCTTTTAGGCTGTCGAGGAGGTTTTATCGAAAAGGAACAAAGCTTAATTTTGCTCTAATCGTCTTAAAAGATATTCCTCTAAGTCTGGGTCGACCGGATTTTGAAAATAGAAACGTATATAAGGCGAGCGAAGAGCTGAGAATCACAATGAAAAATAACCTTTGAAAGGATTTTTTTAGATCAAGAATAACTTTTGCAGACTTTGCTGGTGAAGTGATGTCCTATCGCGTTAAGGTAGGTAATTTATTTTTGCATTTTCTTCTGGAAATAATTTAATCTCCAAAGGTTCGAAGAATGGTAGGAGACATCTACACCAAACGAAATTTGTGTCACAAAATCTTAATCATCTCACCGAAATAACGGTATCATTTCTTAAAAACGAAAGCTTTAAACCTCAAAAAAAAAACACAGTTTTTAAGTGTGAAAAGTATGCGTAGATGACGTAGATTGGCCTCCCGAAAGAATTTCTTAAGCTGACGTCTCGAGTGTTAGCTATCGTTAAGGGTAGGTGATGAAGTGGAATAAAGGATTTCCGTTTTACACTCCCTTGCAATTAAAGCATTTAGAGATTTATGGAAATAAATATTTGTGAAATGTTTAACTTATTTTGTGTGATATAATCATTCGATTTCGCCGAGAAAACGGAGGACGCACAAAAAAATAAGAAATGTTTGTCGGTGATTTTGTTTCTCGAAAGAGACAAACAAAAGTTCACAAAATTTATGGTCAGTTGAGATGTTTACAAATTGCACCCACTGATGACTCGCAATATTTGCAAAACCTTCAAAACATCCCTCCCGCCAATAAATCACAAAATCTCGGACATGGAAGGGTTATAAGCCTGCTGAACAGGCAGCATTAATATGCGTTTTTTTGGGCGAGCAAGGGAAAACACGGGAAGAACGAGAGGAGTGAGACCTGTCCGCGCACTGTTGTACTTACACTTTCGCATCCAAACAATTTCCAAACAATCACATCTATGCAATCATAGCGTTTGATTCTGTTTACGAAGAAACGGAAGTGATTCTGGGCTAGAGAGGATTCATCAAAGAATTGGTTTTTAAAAAAATAACGTAACCATTTTGACCTGCCTCAAACATGTAAATTATAGGCTTTTTCTGTTCCTTTTTACTCAGATGTCGACATTTATCATCGTATTCTGCTTACTTCTCATCCATATGGTGAGAATCGCTCCATTTCCGTTTGGTGGCCCTGCTCAGCAGAATGAAGACTTCGCCTATCGTGACAGTGGTCAGAGTGGTAATGCAATAGAAGAACGAAATGCGTTACGAGGCAACGGAAGCAGGAAGAACAGCTTAAGTTTATCCCGCAATCGAGTCACTCGAAGTATTCATCCATGTGTCGTAAAGAATTCTCGAAAATCAGCACTGGGTTGTAATGGTATAATAACGGTCACTTGTAAGGAGACAAGCTTCGGTTGCCTCAGCAGGCC